GGAGATTCTACTATGAGATATAAAAAATGACAGGGATAGTGGCTTTTGGAGACTACGAAAATAATGCTGTCACATCACTGCAAAATATTTATCAAAAAGACGGATAACGTCGGGCACTGGACGAGACTTGCGTTTATTAACTTCAACTCGGCTGTTCGCGAAGTCTTTTGATATGTTTCTTAAATCCCACCTATAATATGCAATGCCAGTACTGAGAACCCACTAAGCAGGTGCAGTGGTGAACATCGGAGCCAGTGACGGTTTTACACAAAGATCACACCGAAATAGATTGATTCGATCCAGACTATTGCTTTGTCCCGTAAGTAACAAAGAGGTTACCTTGTATTAACATTGAGTATAATCCGGGGACGCGGCTGTCCCTTAAAACCTGGAGATTTATTTGACTGTATGCATACACCGAAGGCAGTTCGTGGGAGTGAAGCTCCTTCTCGCACGAGGTCATGACCACCTATTCCTGTATTGTGTTTCAAAGATAATCGGAGTGCTTTATTTTTGGTTTGTGTGGCCCGTCGAAATGAAATGATTAAACACACGCATATTTCCCGAATAGTCATGAGAAGACAGATCAAGTCGGACGACATTTACTGTCTATAAGAACGCACAAGCGGTTTAACAAGTCCTGGAAACCATTGTTTCGCAAACAGAGTGCCAGGCGCTGAGGCCGTCAGCGTCGTCACGAATCGCGTGTGTGCACCTGAGTTGTATACGCATGTAACTAATCAGTAAAGCGTAGAATGTCTATTGCCTCCAATGTCCTGGCTCACCGGGGCCAAGTCAAAGAACGACCCAAACAGTGCATTGACAGAGGTGTGAAGCAAATGAAAGACGATGCGGTTAAACCGGGGATATTGGGGGCTGATTGACACAAACCCTTCTTTAGTGGAATACACGGCCTGTGAAGTAAACTTTATTAATATTTTGCATTTCATTTGTACTTTATTACTAGAGACATGATGTAAGATGTCCCAGAATATGTTTTCTACTTACGTTCTTCCTTATATTCTCTGTTTCAAAAAGGCTCCACCTGCCCATCAACGGGTAAAAACAAATTCATGCAGTTCCCGTCGAAATGTACATCGTAAATAAGGAAAAAACTGTGACCGCAAATGTTTCTACCAAAGTTTTTCCCCACAGTAATCACCTGGGCAAACAAAATTATGTTTTTAGTGGTAATGGTGGTAGTAGTAGTAGTAGTAGTAGTAGTAGTAGTAGTAGTAGTAGTAGTAGTAGAAGTAGGGGCAGCAATAGCACAGTAGTAGAATAGATACAGTAATAGGTACTGCCTTCGCTGGTCCTGATAAAAGTGGCACATGTTAATGTTCAAATAAGCACGTAACTAAATTGTTGTCCGCAACATACCCGTTTACAAAATAACGTGTGGCAAAGTGAAATTGCAATTTGAACATCTGCGGTTTTTTGACGGCTACAGTACGAGTCTCAGATGTCCCTTTCTACGTCCAGTGAAGATTAAAAATGCAAGTGTATGCATTCCACACAAAATATCGTCAGTTGCGAAGTTTGCGTTAAACGTGGAGGGATGCTGTACATAGGAGATGAGATCAAGAAATAATGTTCATGGCTGGTCGCAGATATTCCAGCGTCTAGAGTCGTCGTTTACCAAAGATCAAACGATCCGACTGCCTTTCTCACACAAATATAGGAAAGAATGTCACTGCGTCACTTGGTAATGAGTTTTACAGCCGAACTAGACGTAAAATACAGCGGGATTTAGTATGATACGTCGTATATAGGGGAGGTATTGAGAGCCTATAAAAACCATGTTTACAGACATACGCTGAAAGAGGGACGCATATTTCTGTAACCACATGGGTACGTTATATTCTTCTGTGTCAAATAAGAAGATGGCTACCGGTGAAAATGCTAGTAGGCCTTCATTTAAATGTCTGAACGCTTTCCAGTAGAATATCGAAATTAGGCACTTTGTTCCATTCTTCAATCGTCCTACGGTGAGGAAACTGGTCTGCACTTCAGATTTGGCGCTTTGCGTCTCCGGTTTGGCTCAGTAGGCTCGGACACTTGTCGTTTGCGCGTGTTCAAAAAATCGGCCTCCTGAAGTGTTCCTTCTGCTCCTCTGGCGAAGTTGAAGACTATAATCATGAAGTCCCTATATTGGCTATAAAAGAGATCGAAAACTTCAGACCTTTCTGGCTGTCATTATTACAACAGGCAATTCTGTCCGCTGACTAGTTTGGTCGCATTTTGCTGTACGTTCTCCAGAAGAGGATAGTCTTGCTTTATCCACGGCCAGCACCAGTAAACAAAATATTCTAGCAAAGGCTCGATAAACGTTTTAAACAGTCGACCAAAAAAGCTCTTCGTCAAAGCAAACAAAAGATCTCCTGATCGTTTTCAGGGTACACATGGCCTTAATTACCATCTTCGAGCAGTGGGGCGGAGGTTTTAGAGTGGACCATATCCACAAATAGGTCCGTTAGCTCGTTTACTGGTCCCAGTTTATGACCTTTGATTAAATATTGGTATTCAAATCTCATCAACGTTCTCTGACTAGCCCATAGTCTGATGGCTTGAGTTTCGATGAAATGTAGGTTAAAAACCTATTCATCACTCCACTGCTGCAATCGATTTAAGTTTTTACAGGTTCATTGCATTCTCTGACGTTTCCATTCAATATCATACCTTCAATTTGTCGCCGAACATCCATTTGTCGCAGACCAGGAAATCAGTTGCCAAACTTTACGTAACATTTGTGTTTCAGTGTTCAGATTTATGCCTTAGGATGTAGTGTAAATGGCAATCAAAACCACAAAGAAAAATATATAAAGGTGAAATTAGCCCTAAGTGGGGGACGATGCTCTTCATCTGGGAAAAACAATGACAGCAAAAAGGAGCAAAGGAAAAACGACACAACGCAAATAATTGTATAGACTCACGAAAAATGAAGCCCTCTCCAGAATTGGTTGTCGCAGAGTGAATGTTCTGGGTTAAGTTCAGAAGATCCCAAGACGCAGTCAGGTACTGGAATTTCGTTTTTGGATGAATACACGTCCAGTTAGATGTGACCGAAAGAGAAAAGTTTATTGGGTCGACTGACTAGAAGCGATCGAGGCGCATGAGAACAATCAACGAAACAATGACGCCAAGCAGCAGACAGACACAAAAGCACACGTTGTCTCAAGCCAAAACCAGACCTGTTTATTTTAGCAAATTCAAACAACATTACAGACAGGTTCAGGCGAATCAGCAGGTTTATGATGTAAAATCGAAAACCTCCGTAAACCTACAGTCCTTTCACGGTTAATCATGTTCCTTATTATTCCTACTTTAATGTCTTGTATAGTGTATATCTTATTTTTAGTTTATTTGGGTCAGTATACAGTTAATAGTAATAGGTAATGCCTTTGGAAACCCTATTGAAAACGGTACATGCAATGTCCAACTCCAAATAAACGTGGTACTAAAATTCCGTCAGTGATACATACACTAAACATAATATGTCATTTTAAAAATGCAGGACCGAATCTCGAGAACACTCAGTTGTAGATAATAACGGTAGAATAAAATGACAATCATCCGCATTAGCGGTAGGCGTATGCAAGGCGTTCGTTTGGCACAACAGAGCTATTCTGTCCAGAAAAGCGGTATTTTGCAAGCAAATATACATTTAGTCTTTGCTTAAATGCCTCCGTGGAATCCGCCGTTATCATGTCCTCAGAAAACCCGTCCGAGGCACCGACAACTCGCTGTAAAAAAGAATATCTGCAAACGTCCAGGCGTCATCGGGATCCTTTAAGTTTTGGAGAGTTCCCACGCAGGTTTGTTGTTGTGGACAGGGTGAGGAAATTGTCGAGGCTTAGGACACAGTTCCGGCTGCTCAAAATTGATACGCCTGTATGAGATCTCCTTGGATTTGCCTGTACTCAAGAGGAAATAGCTTAAGCTCATCAAGTCTGCAGTTGTAATTTAACGTCTTGAGGCCTTTCATACACAGACTATGATCGGCCAGTCACAATGTTCTTTACACAGTTAAATAGGTTTCTTAGCTTCTCCTACCTTGTAAAGTAACCGCTGATGTGGAACAATATCAAAGGCTTTCTTGAAATCGATGCGAACGATATCGACCCTTGTTCCTTCTTCTAACGAACGGGACCTTTACTCTGTCGCATAGGACATATTGGTTAAGTAGGAGTGATTTTGACGAAAGCCATGTTAAGAACTAGCAAAGAAATTCTTTTCCTCAAGGAACTTCATAACGGCTTTTTGACTATTCTCTCCATGAGTTTGCAACAAATTCAAGTTAGGCTCACGTTAGGTTTTTGTTCGTGTTCAGGCCAAACCTGCGAGGGCAATAAAAAGTTCGTTCCAATCCTGTCCTTTGCTCGATTTAATGCTCACCTTTATCTTATTAGTTCCTTCTGGACTTCTTTCCATTGGTAAATGGGTTTACTCACTGTCCTAAAGATATTATGACGGTACCCGCCGCTCATCTATATATTTGTTAAACTGCACAAATCCACAAGTGCATTTCGTACGCCAGAGCATTTTATCAAAAAATATCCTGCACGTTGGCCTTCTGTGATACCGACCTCGACGTTTATAAAAATTGCTAACTTCGAAAACCAGTTCAAAACTAATGAGCTTTTTCATTTTCCAACAAAAGACTCCATGCCGGACATTTTATAATTTTCTTGCCTTAATATTCGTTCAAGTAATCTACGATAACTATATGATATCCCGAAATTTGCGTATAATAATGAGTACTATTTTTCACTAGGTTACTAACACTTCCTTTCGTGAATCTTTAGTTGATCTAGGTCATAACTATAACAACACACAACGCGCTCTTATTGAAGGCGCCAAGATAATGATCCCTCCAAATGTTTCCCTCGTCAAATATGACACGCCTGTGCTTGTGACTAAAAACTACGACAAAAAATCCCCAAATGTATATAATACATAAGGTTTTTATAATTTAGGCTCCACTCCTGAAAAGCACTCCCATGGCTACTGTAGAGGCTGGCCCAGTACCCGGAAGTGGTCAAAAAGGTTGTCCGCCTCCAAATCCGTGCGAATCTAAGACAGCTCAGCAAACCGACGAAATTTTAAATTCGATTCTTCCCCCGAGGTTTGCTTTTTATCTAGACAGGCAAAGTCTTCAGGGAGTGGTCAGAGAACGGTCAGCTTTGGATTCAAAGAGTATCAAGCACGCCAGCAACTCGCCTCGATGTAGTCAATTTGCAGGAGGAACTCGATCGCAGGTTACAACAAAGGCAAGCGAGGGAAACGGGCATTTGTCCTGTTCGACGTGAACTATATTCTCAGGTAAACGCTGATCAAATATCGCATAAGGTACTTTAGGTGTTCGACGAACTTATTCGTCAAGTTACAATAAATTGTGCGGAAAGAGGTCTCCTTCTTCTTAGAGTCCGCGATGAAATACGAATGACAATAGCTGCGTATCAAACCCTTTATGAATCAAGTGTTGCTTTTGGCATGCGAAAGGCCCTGCAAGCAGAACAAGGCAAAGCTGATCTAGACAAAAGGGTAAGATTAGTTACTTCATCGGAAATATAAAAGCCTTTAAGACAAATCTTTTAACTTCGGAAAGTGATGAGGAGAGACACAAATAACGGCCATATCTAAAAGTATGATATGTGAAAAACTTTTCTATTACGCCAAAGGCAGCACTCCAGCGTATGTTCACAAACCACCCTACCAGCTCCAGCCCTGCCGACAGGTTGTAACCTGTCAGCTTGGAGGTTTTGCTTTAATCACAGAAATGGCCTGCAAAAACCAGCATAATTGATACAGTTCTAAGTTGCCCTATCTCTTGGCTCTCCCATTTAGATATCAAAAGTTACACTCTTACCGAGTCGGGTGATCCAACAACAAGCCAAATCTTCATTTTCACTACATTTATCAGCAGTAGCAAAAACGGCGTAGCTCCGGTTATGTGCTTATTCTCAAAACCTGCTCGACAACGATTCAAAATCATAGTTTTCTCGACCAAGATATTGCAGTGGTCTAATCTTTTAAACTTCCTCCACATTTTCTGAGCACGAGGAGGAGGAACTTGAATCGTGGTTTCTGCATCATCATATCTATATCATCATATCCAGGTTTATTGAGTGTCAGCGGATATACTATAGCATGGTATGTTCTACTATAGTAGGGACGAAGCGAAATTCTCCATTGATAGCGAATTTCGCCTTTTCTGTAAACAAGTTGAGAGTATTATTCAAAAGTTCGTCGAAATTGAATCTCGAATTGAAACTTGAAAACGTTTTTTATACATTGATGGGGTCTCTCGAGTATAAATATTTAAACTTGTTTCAACCGCACTTATGTAAAGTGCTTTTATTTTGAAACACATTGTCAATCCTGCTTACCAATATTCTTTTCAATAAACATGGGTGGTTTGTCTTACTATTGGTGCAAAAAACGCAAAAATGCCCTGCATTTACAGCAATATGGACATTGATTACATCGTTTGGCCTTAAAAGGACGCTTTAGATCTTGTGTTCAAAAATGTGTAAGCGCCGTCCTTCCAATTTTCTAGATTAATTCACATTCCCTTTTCCAGGCTAAACAACAGATCTTAGGAATTGTTTGATTTACACATAAATGCGTATTCAGGAGATTCTTACGACCTAAATGGCGCTTTCGCTTTAGCCTGTGTGATCATAATTTGCGGTATGCGCATGGTTAACTCGGCTGAAATTCCTGTTCTATATTTTGTTCTTGGTTAAAGAGTGGGCCTTGGCATATCCACAAGCACGCTATCACACCCTTCACTAGACCAGTCTTCCCGCATAATTCGAACATGCTTCATTAGTTGCCCAGTCGAAACAGACCAGCGGATGGAATATCTGGCATAGTAGAATCGCGATAGGGTTAAAGAACGGAGCAGTGGTAGCTTTTGCTTAATATTAACAATGTTCATTTAATACTCCGAATGATTGCGATTTGACCGAATTTCGGTCTCCGAAAACTCATTGTGTGCGGGACGTATCTCTGGCCGAAACATATGTCGTATGTCAGCACCTGGGTTGTTACCACTCTCCTTCTGGATGAGTTGATACTGGCAGTGTATGTTCTATAATATCGTGGTAGTTGATCGCGAAATTGCAAATTTCTAAATTTTATGTGAAAATGGACATCACTTAAAACAGTAAGTTACCATCATAGGTGGCCATGATAAAACCCACCGAAAGCTATGAGAATGCATAGGAATAACATCAGTTAGAAGTCATTGTGGCATCAAAACTTGATATACTAAAAATTGGTTTGACAGTCTTTTCCGGTCTTTCCATGCGAACTTAGGAGTCTTCGATATCCAATTTTAATTGCTAATCGTGTATCTGCTGCGTTTTTATGGTCATTATTTGTCCGACCATGTCTGCGAAAGTGACTTACAGAAGTAAAACGATGTTAGTCCTGTAATCTCTCTTATATGTATTTTTCTCCGTTTCACTTGTCCACACAGTTTTGCTTTCTTTATGAGATCTATTCTGCAGAAACTCGACAACACCATTCTGCGTGATTGATAGTTATTATGATCACCGTCCCATCACCGAATCTTGAGATCAATAGCACTTACAATAACCTACCCTCAGTCGCTCTGATCGCCGATGTCTACAGCGTGCAGCAATTTGGTGTACTGGATTTAATGCTTGTTGGTTACAGGAGGCACCTGTTGAGGGTCGGTCAGCGTTTTTGAAAGCGCGACAGCCGCACAACAGTCGCTAACTTAATGATAAGATAAGCGAACTTCCGGACAGCCATCCTTCTTGAAGGCACAAGTTTTAAGACATTCAATACACGCATAGAACGGGGTGCAGGTGCTGTCTGGGGAGACTTGCGCTGTCTTGGAGCCGTTGGGGTCGACTGAAATTAACCTCATCGACAAATACGGTTGTTACTTCGTTTCACGTGAGCATCCCCTCTTTAGTTTAAACGTCTTGGCATACAGTGTTCCTCTTTGAGTTTTTAGGCGCTGTCATTGTCACTACAATTCTGCTGGGTATGCTTGTATGACGAGGAATGGGTTTATTTAATTGGAAACTGTGCTGGTTACTAACAAGGTCTCAGTAGGTAGTTCTGTGCGACAGCAATACTCCCATCACTTCGTATTTGCAATTATTCTGTCGGCGTCTTCTTTAAGATTCTGGAATTAGAGCAAGAAAAGCGCGATCTGGAGAGGCAGGTGAATGAACTAAAGGCAAAATGTGAACAAATCGAAAAGCGGGCAGCTGAGCAGAGACAGGTGGAGGAGAAGAAACATCAAGATGAAATTCAGTTTTTGAAGCGAAACAACCAACAACTAAAGGTAAGTTCAAATTACCCTCAGACAAGGACAATTTGATGTCATCAACGCGAATGTTAATAATTCCGACATAAGAAGTTAATAGACCTGTTATTTACTTTTCTCTTATTCCACCAAAAGTTCTCTATTCTATTGCTTTTAGACCCAACTAGATGGAATCATGAATCCAAAATAGGGCGTCGACTATCACCTCCTTCTGAAGTGGATGTTGCTGATCAATTTGATATCAGAAATATAACATTTACAGGTTATCTCCATTCCCTATCCCTTCACTGGTGGTTGTCTTCGCCGGGCAGGCGACTACGATCACAAACTTGTATGTTATTAAGTAAAGTACATTATACCAGATGTATTACCGACTTTACAAGTTTTTTTGGCACTCCATTATAACGGATGAGCAAATTTGCAACGTTCGGTCAATTTACATAAACGCCTAGTCCTAAACATTCTTACGACAATATTTCCACCTCTAATGAATTCATCATTTGCTCGTTTAGATTTTGCCAAAGAGGCCTTCCTGTATTGGAAAAATGCCTTATGCAGTGAGTGACCGATCTCATGAAGTGCTGGCTGAAATTCTGGAATTCGTCTTCGATTAGAAAGGATTACTTAAACGCAGTTGTAATGCTGATTATCTTGCGACATAATCCCATAATATTTCGGACTTGGCAGGGTATCAGCTTTCGCATGCACTGCTTTTCCACTTCCAGTAAAAACCGCACTCGATGAAAAATGACTACTTATGTGGCATGCATTTTTCCCATTGATTTTCGATAATCTTGCAAATTCAAATATATTTTATAGAAAACACAAACTAACATATATTTTCTTCAAGTTATTCGATAGAGAATCATGTTATTTCCATATTTTACACTCGAAGAGGACGTATAATTAGGTTTTATGAACGTTTTCTAACTCACAAATAATTTGGAGCCAGATCAGTCGTTGCCTTTGCGCCTAATTATTTCAGTCTACAAGGTACATGTGTTCCGCGTGAACAAATTCACATATTCTTCTGTGCCTTTAAAAAGATATCTATAAAGGCCATACAATTTTGCGATGAATGCGGACCATGTTGTACATTTCATGGGGAGCAGTGATACACCGATAGGTACGATGCTATATGAATGGACATTACATGATCTTAAAAAATCTCATAATCAGAAACTTTTTAAAACCTAATTATACTTCCTCTTCGAGTATAAAATATGAAGATAACGTAATACTCTATCAAACAACCATAAAAAAATATGGCATCCATCGGGTGAAGGACCGCAAGACAAATGTTCCAGTCTTACGGGACAGGTGTTAACAGGGGTTTTACAGGCAGGGACTATATGTGTATAGAGGAGTGACAGAATAAGCATAGATAATTAGTAAATTCGTTTTTCAGGTGAGAGGGTTTTATTGCATTGACATATAGCAAGCGAAATTAAGCAGGACTATTAAAAAAATCAACTTTAAGTGTCGTTTCTCAACTCTCGTAGATGGGGTCATTGTAGATAATGCACCAGACCGTCTACAACAGACGACCCATCCTTGCACGATGAAACACCAAGTCGAAATAGGCGTCTCGGACAGAAACCCACTTAAATAAGCATAGTAGGTATTCCTATGTAGTTCTGTGTATTCCTATGTATTCCAGCTGCAAACAAACCATAGATGCTTGGGGCCCTTCCCCAGATACTTACCGAAAATATATTTTTGTTCGTGCTTTCTATAAAGTATATTTAAATTTGCAAGATTATTGAAAATCAATAGGAAAAATGCATGCCACATAAGCAGTCATTTTTCATCGAGTACGGTTTTTACTGGAAGTGGAAAAGCAGTGCATGCGAAAGCCGATATCCTGCCAAGTCCAAAATATCATAGGATTATGCCGCAAGATAATCAGTATTACAACCGCATCGTAGTAATCATTCCTAATCGAAAACTAATTGCAGAATTTCAGCCAACGTTTCATGGGATCGGTCACTTGCTGCATATCGTGACAAGGGTCTTAAGCGGAGAGAACATGAATCATGCTCTAGTTGCTGGGTACCCGGGGCATCAGCGAATGTCGGATATTGAAATTTCGGCCGTTAAATTTTGTTGTGCGCCAAGAAAATGTGTTTCTAGCAAGTACGTATTCACAACGCATCAGTGACACTGTCAGTAGGATATGGAGGACTAATGTCTGACAGGTCAACGACCGTCGACATTGCTTCAATGAGGAAACTGTTATATACCGAACATTAACTATCATCAAATGAATGCGATCGGGACAGATCCTGACTACGACAATGAGGGTCACACGCTTACGTGACTTCACTTTGATAGGAGCAAACAGTTGATTTCAAGGAAGCAGTTCTGAAGAAGACGATGTAATCATTAGAACAAGAAGTTTATTGGTCTGGCGTCTCGGAATCGCACTGAAACCCATCATCAGGGACAGTCGCGGATTGTGGCATGGAAGCACAAAACAAACAGCATATCTGCCGTGAGATCACACGCTTACTATAATTAGTAACTCTCGTCACCACCGCTGGAGGTCGTAATTGATGCGACGATAGCTTTTCAGTCTGCCTCGCGATTTCGTCATCTGTTTTCGAATCTAGCATGATAGTTACTCGCAAGTTTGACTCGCAATCAATAGGATTGTTGCTCGTCCCGCCCATCTCACGTGAGTGATTCCCCTGCCAAGGGGAAGTTTCAGAACTAACGGGGGTCAGTGCACTTGTTTTTGGATTGTGGACCTGAGAGCTATTATTCGAGCGTTTCGCGGCTCATGCGGCTTCGACCTGGTCCACTCGAATAAGCCACAACTTGGGAGTTAGCATCCTTTCTCCTCACTGCTCGGCCATTCGCGTCCGGAGTAATCCCCAGTTTCTATGACGAAGTTGCTTCGTCCGCAAATGAACCAGATCCACTAAACGGATCCAGACGTTTCCTGCCGCGGCAGAGGGTCTTTCAGCCTCACGACCTGGCCCATGATGGTTGCGCCCAGCCTGTGAACCACCCACATCAAAGTGGAATAAGATGGCGGCTGACGGCTTCCGAGACGTTCTTTACGTGCGCAATTGGAGTTGGACTCCGGTGTCCTTTGCGTATGCACTGGTTAACAAAATTGCGCCGGTAGCCGTTACCTTTTAGTACTCGTAATTCAGCAACCTTGTTTTCCGTTTTACTGCAATGCGTCTCAACACGCCGGTATAGCGCCCCCTACACTACCGTCATTGTGACTAATTGGGTGATTGCGGTTGAAACTTTGCATTTGCGTTGTATTGGTAGCTTCCTTGAACACTTTGGTTTTTAGACCATCTCAAGCTTTTCGGCAAAGGAGGACATACAGAAAGGCCTATGACGTACTGATGATCGGCCAGGTGCCTGAAGCAGCTGTCTGCGTTTGACCTGCTGCACTCTTAGTGAGCTGTCAGAATATGTGAACTCCTCTCTGTTTGGCAACGGTGATAGGAGATACACAAGTGTTGATTAAGTAGAATCCGTACATCTGAGCTATTCAGCACGCCTTATGGTTGTGGACCATGGACAGTTTTAGACGAATCTGTCTGAGAGTTTAACGGGGCGTACAATCTTTGTTAGAGTTTAACGGCTAAGCCAGGTTTCCATCGAAAACCCCGTCCGTGCCGATCCGTGGCATGATCGTGCACACTGACGAAATTAAATGTCTGGGCATATTCGACCGATGGCAATTACGCCTCACTCTGCGAGACAGTCACCTTGACCAAGCATCTCAGTGCCATACAGCCGTTCATGTAAACGGTCCGTTGGGTACACTCCTCTACCATGGAAGAAGGAGACGCGATCGCCAGGGCAAGAGCTTTATTAGTCTACCGTTTCGGATTCCTGCCCGAACCCATAATCGGAGATAAAATCAGATACGGATAGTTCATGCACAAGGAGCTGCGGTATTTATGGGGTGCAGTCGCAATGCTACCGCATACCTATGAATGTTCACGGCTCCCCCTTGATCAGGGGTCGTTGCACACAGTGTGATGACTGTTTGATGATCGAAATTTGCGTCGTTAATTGTTTTAATTTCATCACGTGCGTTGGATGTTGGTGTGATGATTGCTCAACCATCTGACGTACCGACACTGGTGTTGGGAAGTGTTTACTTGTGCGTTTCCCACGTGGCTAATTACTCCGCCTAGATGAAGTCTCAGCAGTGTGTGGAAAGGGAAGGTCATTGCACTTTTTAATGGACTGGGAGGCAGTAAACCATGACTCGAGCAGCTCCCGGCTCGCGCGGTTGTCGCCTCTAGAGAAAATTTCGGCCTCGTCGAAATTGACTTTGTGACCGGATCTCGTTAAATGAGCCTCAACTTGAGAGCTGACGTCATTTCTCCACACCGCTAAGCGTGCTCGACCATTCGCGTTCGGAGCTGTCTTCCGGTTTCTCCGACGTAGTTGCTTTGTCCGCAACTGCACCAAATCCGATAAACGACTTCAGACGTTTCTTGCCGTGGCAGCGGGTCTTTTTGTTTAATTACCTGCCGCCTGGTGGTTGCCTCCGGTCTGTGTGCAACTCCGACGCCAAGCGGTGCGAGAAGGCGGCCGACAGCTTCCGAAACGTTCTTGACATACGGAAGCGCTCGCCAAAATTTGGTGTCCGTGCTCTAACATGCTGACAGAGATACTTCTGTCATGTGTACTTACCAACAAGAGGACAAAATCACTCGTTACATGGCCAGTTTGGACCCGACACCAGCCGGTAGCAGTATACTGATGAAAGGGTGGGTTACCGTACTGAAAGCAGACCACAAATATCTCGCCGACTCCAAGATCTTCGGCCATTGGGTCTAACGTTCCGAGTGACAAATAGTTGCTCGTGTACTGCCGCCTACAGCAGTGGCGGTCATTCGTAGCGCAGTGTTCGGTAAAACAGGGGAACGGGCACCCATACATATAAAAGAAGGCTTTGCCTTCAATGCCAGCGGGTGTTTATTCCCATATCCTAAGCCCAGCGCGCACCCTAACCTTGGCCTTACTGCCCTGATATGTGGCGGGACGTACATGCTTCTCTGTCCTCCTAAGAAACTTATAATACGGAGCCTGCCAAATCGTCTAAGATGAATAGATCAGAGAATTATAGGTTCTTTTCGAGTGTCACGGTATGCCTACGAGAGGTTAATCGGCAGTCTGTAGTGGGCAACGTCGGTCAAACTGTTGTAT